TTCATTCTGTCTGGAATCCATATCCAGTGTGAGAGCCACCCACAAAAAAATCCCATTTCCGACCTTTTACATTTCTCCTTGTGCCCAGAATAGGGAAGATTTTTTTTCCTGAGGAAGGCCTGAGTATTTTCTCTTTTTCCCCTCCATCAGCTGATACTAGTTCTACAGTTGCATTTCAGTACCCATTTTAATGATAATTTCAGTCTTGCTGTTGGAAATCCCCAACATGCTGAGTTGGTGACTTTATGACTAAATCAGAAAATACTTGTGAAGGGACTGGACTACATGGCAGAACATATGCCCATTCATTAACTTTCTTCGGGAAACTGGAGTATAGAACTGAATCTGTCCTTGCATTTCCTGTTGAAGATGAGGTTTCAGCCACTAAGGAAGCTCAGCAGTGTTGTCACTAAACTTTTTTTGATCCAGTTTTGGAATAGTGAATGCTATTTGGAGAGTGTAGGAGGTCAAGTATTTAGGTTTGCATGAGCACTTCAGTGTTCAGATGATATTAAGTTACTGAATTGTGTATACCTTTAGCTGATAAAAAGTTCCCCTGGTGGGGAGAAGTTACCTTCTGTTACAAAGCTGGGTATTCTGGCTGTCCTGCTAAACAGGTGTGAGTGGTGGACATTTTTTTTCTCATTTATACATAAAGACTACTGAATTATTGTAATTTCCAAATCCAGAAGTGGGGTAAAGAGGTGCATGTAGCTATAAATTACTATTCCAGGCAAAAATAACCCTGAAGGATGTGCAATAAAATAGCTTTACCTGCATCAATTCCAAACTTGTAATCCTTGATGTTTGAAAGAATGAAAATCATGGGCACTACTGCCTTAATTTTATAACTCTAGTCTTCTGTCCCTTTCTGTTCCTCCCCATCTAGCAATCTTTCCCTCTCTTATTTTTGCTGTTATTCTCAAAAGATCATTAAACACATAAGCGTTTAATGGCAGCCATTGCAGAGAAATAGCAAAAGATGAAGGGCTGGAGAATTGAGGAAACTTGTAACATTACCCAACATTGCTGCCCAAAGGAAAGAACACTAATGGATAAAGACCTAAAGCACAGATTTGGACCTTGGCTTGTCTAAACCTGTGTGTTTACATCCAGAATCACTGAGGTCAGAGCACACTTGTCTGAGGGCAGTTACAAGCACATAAAGGCTAACAGCATTGTTAGTGATAAACAGCAGTGGGTTTATCAAAGAGGAGTACAGCAGACAATAACCTTTCTTGATGCAATTAGATAATTAGTGGGCAAAAGGAATACAGTGAATAGACTGACTCTGGATCATGCATGGGCTTTTGACACAAAGCTGTGCAAAATCTTATTAGGGAAATTAGATCAAATTGGTTTTGATACAAATCCTGTGAAATGAATCATGGATTAAATGACAGTGTAAACAGAAGGGTTAGAGATATTCTTTATCCTTCTGCAAAGATGGTGTCCAAAAGAACAGTGTTTTGACTGTAAATACTCATCAGTGACCTGGAAGTAACCTAAAAGTGATCACTCTCAAATTTACAGTTGACAGAACCAAAAGATACTAAAAAAAAATCAGCATAGAAGAAAGAAGAGCTAGGCTGAAAAAATGAGGATTGTGAGCAGGCTTTGGTAAAACAAGTGATAATTAGCACTGTGCAGTGCAAAGATGATACTGGATCTACTTTGGAACAAGGAGAATCTCCAAATTTCATGTTGTGCAGAGCACGGTGGCAAAAGCAGCTTATGTTCAGAGAGGTCCCAATGAGACAGGCTATCAAATTTTGTGAGCTGATGTGCAACCTGATGTCTGGCAAAGCTACTGTTCAGTTGGTCCATATGTCTTCCTGGCTGTGTGCTTTCCAGAGTGACTCTCCCCTGTAGTGCTGCAGCATTGCACTGTGCAGTTCAGGGCACCTTGCTGCAACAGAGACCCAGGGAAATTGGAACAAATCCAGTGAAGGACCACAAAGATGCTAAAGGGATTAGAAGGAATGACCTATGATGAGGAAAGGTGAAAAGAACGAAATGTTTAGAACCTCTAAGCCTGTTACATGGGCACAGAAATAGTAACGGAGTTTCCTGTGCCAGCACAGAGGAGAGTTGGATCAAGTCTCTCTCCTTTTACATTCCTATTAAGGTAACTAGAGCCAAGCAAAATGGCTGTTCATCACTTTGAACTCTTTGCAAAACACATTTAGCTGTTCTTCTTGAAGTTCAAGATGTTGTATCTCATTGCCAGGGGACACTCTGACTGTTTAAAAATCAGCACAGGATTTCCATGAGACTTGCAGAAAGTCAGAGGCCAGAAAAGAAAAGCACATGCTCTGGAATGGCTGGAGTCACCTTAGCTGTAATCTTTGATCTGTCTTGGTATTAAGGGCTTTTGCTCTCAAGCATGCATTCACATCCAACCAGAACTTGCTATGTACTGCTGCCTGCTGGAAGGGAACAGGTGGGTCCTCATCTATAAGGATGTAGGGGGCTTGTTTCCTGATTCACCATCAAACACTGCATGCCTTGGGGAAGGAAGGCTCCTTATTTCCTCAGGTTCTTTATTTTTTTTGTTTCCTTACCCCCCCCCCCTTTTTTTTTTTTTTTTCTTTTTTTTTTTTTTTTTTTTTT